GCTACCGCGACCGAGCTGGACGCTTTACGATTCATCCAGGCTCGTTTGATTGAACGGTTTATGAGTGTTCCTCGCGTGAGCCGCCAGTTTCTTCTTCGCCTTGCATCACCTCGGTGTCATTGGCGTAACTAGCATTTTTATGGGGACATTAGAATTAGATGACGGTGCGGTATATTACCTGCACGGTGTAAAACCATTTATTGAATCGCGTTGGAAGGCTACGGGAATAACCACGCGTTATATTATGACGCGTGGTGTAGCTGCACGCTGGATTACTGCGCGTTCGATAACCGCGCGTGGGGTAACTACACGCTAGGTTGCGACGCGTTGGAAGACTACGCGTTAAATTGCTACGCGTGGAATAACCACGCGTGGTGTATCTACGCGTGGAATAACTACGCGTGGTGTATCTATGCGTGGAATAACCACGTGTGGTGTAGCTACGCGTTACATTACTACGCGTGGAATCACCACGCGTGGTGTACCTACGCGTTAGATTGCTACGCGTGGAATAACCACGCGTGGTGTAGCTACACGTGGCGTATCTACGCGTGGAATAACTACGCGTGGTGTATCTATGCGTGGAATAACCACGCGTGGTGTAGCTACGCGTTAGATTACTACGCGTGGAATAACCACGCGTGGTGTAGCTACGCTCGGTGTATCTACGCGTGGAATAACTACGCGTGGTGTATCTACGCGTGGAATAACCACGCGTGGTGTACCTACGCGTGGTGTAGCTACGCGCGGTGTATCTACGCGTGGAATAACTACGCGTGGCGTAGCTACACACTAGATACCTACGCGTGGAAGCCCCCAGTTACGCCAATGTTCGTCTTCTTTTTCCCCTCGTACTTAATTTTCTTTCGGGCCGGGGACCCATAGTGGAAGAAAGATCGGTTCGTTATCGCGAAACACCGGCGTTGAGAGCGAAATAATGCATCGTGGGCGCAGATAACCGGTTTTACACGCGTGTCAACGATAGTCAAAGCCCCGCCTTAATCATTCTAATGTGGTCCCCTCCCTTTCCGCCTTTTTTATTCGCGTGTGACCGCAGCTTCTTATTTCGCTGGCAAAAATTACGATAACAAGCTAATCGTTCCGTGGCGGACACTTTTCGGCGACCCTTGTTCGGGATTCCTCTCTGAAACGAGTTTCTAGTGGTTTTGGCAGTGCTGATAAAAAGTCCTTTTGTTTTTTACTCGCTACTTCAGTGTATGGAAAGTTTATGATGTTTCGGGGGCTCGTTAAGTAGGAAATTCTTTTTTGCCATTTCGAGTTAATGGCGGATTTGAAGGGGGAACGTCGTACGATTCCTCGTTTAGATACGAACATTTTGTTGAATCGATCAGATAAGAGATTTAGGTTTTATACTTCTTTCGATGAGACACAATATTATTTTGAGTTATTCCTTCTGCTTTAGAGAAGTTTAAAAATGCATCTTTGATGGAATTTCAGTATGTGTTATTACGTGTCTTACCACATACGGTGATTTTCACTGTGGCAGACATGTTACTGATTCATAGCGCGTCGTATCAAATACACTTATTTCTACTTGACAATGTTAAGATTCCTTTCATCCGTCGAATAGTGGAAGCATATAACAATTACAACGTGGAAAACACTGTTCTATCACTGACAGACAGTTCAATGAGCAGAATCCACATATCGCGTTACAAAATATAAAAGCTAAAGATACCGAAGAAATGAATTTCCAAAGATCCGGACACGAAACGTAGTTGGATACTTGGTGGATTTATAGTGGAAGGTGCACACGGTGCAACACAGGTCGATCGCGATAAATCTCGATCTTTATGGTGATCCGAAGTGCGAGGCAGCCACGTGCTCTATGGTTATATCCGCCCACTTTCGCCCCCATTGACATCCGCCCTCTCTCGCGATACACGCTATTTATTTTCTCCTCTTGGCCCCCACGATGTGAACTCTTTCCTTTTCTAACGTTTATCATTCGCTGAAAAATTCGATCATCTCGTTTTATGATCGGAAGCTAATAGGACAAATTGAATTTCTTTTTATATATTTATCCACAGAGTGCAGTAAAATTTTAAAAATAAATTTCATTGATGTTATTGATCGTAAATAAAATTAAATTATACCTCGCTCTCAAGCATCCAAAGATGCATGTGTATGTCTGTTCATACTTTACTCGTGTATTTACTCTGATCACAATACCTGAATATTGAAATACCCAAGATTTTAATTTGTCCTATCTCAGTTATTATACCCAGCTAATTTCATTTTGGGACTCATTTCGCGGCCATAACTGACCTGTGTTAGATAAAAAATAACAAGCACTTTGCGATCTACATGCGAACGATGGACGAGCTTGTTTCCGTAATGGATCTGTAGAAGCTACGGAAAGCGTAGTAATGACAGGTGACTCGTTAATTTATGTGGTCGCAAACAGTGCAGATATCGAAGGGTATGTATTAGCATAATACGAAGGATGATCGATTATTTCAATAAATGTAATCAGCGGCTACGTTTAACGGGAATCTGTCGACCGAACGTAATGACGATGATAACGAAACTGATGGGGAATAATGAGATGCGTTCTAAACCTCTGATAGTCTGTTTTACATATTCATTTACGCTGTAGCGCGTTCGCGTGATGTGTTAACGTTGTTCCGATATTTTTTTATTATCTCCATAATATATTTTTATCTTCACGTTATTATTTATTTCATTCTTCGCATTGTTTATACATGGCTAAATGTATAAGAACTTTATTTAACCGGTAAATATTTAGTTAGCAGTTATAATCCTGTTTTAAAAATATGTTAACTTGTTTTTAAACAGTTCGGATACGTTGTCAATTCTGGTTTAGAAACATGTACTTTACGCGATACCAAATACGAGCAATCATCGCGCGTTTGATCGAAAAATTAGGTACATTTTACGACGTTAATTTATGTAATAGAAGGAAAAAGAGTGTCAAGAAAGAACGACCATAAGATTAAAATTATACACTTACAAGTCTCGGCGAGTAACAAAAATCTAATCATCGTCCGATAAAGATCTCTCGTTTTGCATATGCACCCCGATGAATTATTCAACCCTTCTATCAATTACGAGGCCGTGCAGAAATTACCCTAATTTCCTGTTCAACGGATATCCGATCTAACAGTGTTTCCTCCGCGAGCTTATATTGTTCGGGAATCGTGCTCAACCGCGTTAAATTCACATCGAGAGATGCAGGCGTTAAGTTAATTAAACTATGATCGAGTAATTTCGTCGAAGCGTTTGGTATTCAGAAATGTTCTCTTTTCAAAACGGAAGGAAGCGTTTCGCGTGTTCGTTTTCACGCGTCCATGAGCACGTTTGTTACCAGCACGCCTGCACGCGCGCTGGAAATTCGACCGTGAACGCTTTTAACACGATCAGAGGCTGCCGTAAACGATATTCGAGCAGAATTTTCCTCGGTCAAGGTGATCGATGACGCCTTCGAAATTCTAATATATTGAATCGCTGGGAGGCCCGGGAATAACCATGCGTTATATTGCGATGCGTGGTGTAGTTGCACGCTGGATTACTACGCGTTCGAAGGCTACGCGTTCGATAACCGCGCGTGGTGTAGCTACGCGCTAGATAGCTACGCGTGGGGTATCTACGCATTAGATAGCTACGCGTGGAATAACTACGCGTGGTGTATCTACGCGTGGAATAACCACGCGTGGTGTAGCTACGCGTTAAATTACTACGCGTGGAATAACCACGCGTGGTGTACCTACGCGTTAGATAGCTATGCGTGGAATTACTACGCGTGGAATAACCACGCGTGGTGTACCTACGCGTTAGATAGCTATGCGTGGAATTACTACGCGTGGAATAACCACGCGTGGTGTACCTACGCGTTAGATAGCTATGCGTGGAATTACTACGCGTGGAATAACCACGCGTGGTGTACCTACGCGTTAGATAACTACGCGTGGTGTATCTACGCGTGGAATAACCACGCGTGGTGTAGCTACGCGTTAAATTACTACGCGTGGAATAACCACGCGTGGTGTAGCTACGCGTTAGATTACTACGCGTGGAATAACCACGCGTGGTGTACCTACGCGTTAGATAGCTATGCGTGGAATTACTACGCGTGGAATAACCACGCGTGGTGTAGCTGCGCGTTAAGTTACTACGCGTGGAATAACCATGCGTGATGTAGCTGCGCGTTAAATTACTACGCGTGGAATAACCACGCGTGGAGTAACCACGCGTTAAATAGTTACACTTTCTTTCTATCGGAAATGGAAAAGTTGAAGTTCTCTGTCGACTGTACCGTCGATCACCTCGATCCCGACACGTTCTCGCGAATCAGCTTGTCGTTTTTTATTCCGAAGATTCATCTCGCTCCATCAGGCTGTCGCGGCATTAACCCGTCGAGGTTAAAGTAAAAAACGGCGACTTTTCACCTGGCCAGTAGTGGCCATTACACTTCCAATTACGGATGCGTGGTAACACTGCTCGAAATGATTAGCAGGATCAGGTTTTTGCCCTGTTCGAAAGAAACGACGTGTGTTTAGCGCAATAAAATCTTTACTGCGTGTTCTACACGCAACTGCTACCAACTGCTACCGGCCGTAAACGGACCAAGGTAATACCTCGCTATTCCACACAGATTACAGGACACGGCAGGAATGTTATTGCTGCTTACTTGAAAATTCAAGGACTCTTTGATTTTATTTCACCGTGCTCCGCTCCGAGGGTGTTACGTTGATGATATCCGAGTTTGTAACCAGAAACGTTGATATACTCGGATTAATAAACGTTGTATTTTACGATTATTCCGATGCGTATCATATCGGACGTTGATCTGCTAATTATTTTAAAGCGCGGTATAATTTGAAGCGGCGCGAGCGGAAATAACAAAATTAATTGAAAATATGGATTAATATACGACTACAAGTTTTTCCCTTCGAAATCGATAGACGAAAGTCGCTCGATTTTTTAACGCTCTTATACGATGTCGGAATCGTAAAACGTTTACGCTGTGTGCACAAGGAAATTACTTCGTTCACTACGCTGCTATATTTATATTATGTTTTTTCTTTGCCGTATTATAAATATTCTTATCTGTACAGTTTTGCTGAAAAATCTCGAATACAACATTCGTTCGTTATTAAAATTCATGGATATTTTGTTGCGGAGTTGATGTTCGGTCGAGGGATTCCGGTGAGGAAGAGCGAAGTGAAAAAAGATAGAAAAGAGCAACGAAGGAAGTTCTCGTTTTCTACTATATTCTTCCTAGCGACTGTACCCACCTTCTAGCACCCTCGTAGGGTCCAGCCACCTTTTTATCCTTGTCCCTCTGTCTCCGTTTCCCTCTGTTCCTCCTTCCACGATGCCAGTCACCGGCCCTGACTCCTGCTGGCTCGCCGTTACGCTGTTAAACGAGCGAATCGCCAGTAGCTATCGGCGCGAGCGCATCTGGAAAGAATAAAGTACACGTTACGAAGGGTAAGCAAGCAGTCGTGCAGCGATGCAAGCCGTATACTAGCGTAGACTGCATAAGTAATAGAGCCCCCAGCCCCGGGATCTGGGACCAGGCTCTTCGTTTCTTCGTTTCCTCCTCGTTCACGGAGGAACTCGTTCAACCCTCGATACGCTTCACCGACTTACCCCTTGGGGCTCTGCAACACTATTTCCACCTAGCTAGCTGGATACTGCTCAAATGATCCCTTCGTGGGATTCGATTACACCTTTTCGAGTGTACTTGTGTAGGTGCGATACCGCGGTCTACGAATTTATTTCAGTTCGTGAGGATTGCTTACCTTTATTTTTGTTCCGAGTGATTCGATTCGACGCGATTGAATTCGGCGTGACTTAATTGCACATTCGATAGAATACGATTCCGTGTCATTCAGTTTTATTCAATTCGATTCCTTTCGATTCTAATTCAGTTCGACGCGACTCGAACTTACCCTGACAATTCCTTTCGAGATACATACGAGAACATATGTCGATGAGACAATTGAAAGTTTCATACCTAAGCACAATCTAAAACGAAGAAATTCTTCGACAGTTCTGATATTATCTAAGCACCATAAACTAAAAAAGGACCAGCAAAAGAAAATATTAACGACTTATTTATCCGTGTATACGTTAGCTTCCAGAAGCTATTGCCCCTCCCTGTCCTTTGGAATCACGACCGAATCATTATATACCTTACGCTATAAAAGAAGAAAACCCTTATTTGGACCCTGCCACGATGCTATCACAGATTCTTTATCGTTCTATTAGCCGCTACTTAGTTTTATTGGTCACAGTGCCTTTTGTTACCTGCAGTAGCATAAAGTCCCCCGTCAGACCACTTAAAGTCGGGACATCTTCGGATTCCGAAGGAATCGACGATACAAAATGAAAGAAAAATTTCTTGGACAGCCTCCAATCGACTACACGTTTCTTCTTCGAGAAAACTAAACGCTGTGTTCATTTTGATTTTGTTAGTCGATTTTGCATACGGAAAATGTTTTTCGATAACGTGGCTCGATCTAAGGCAAACACGAAGGGAGAGGAGGATGCGCGAGTTTTTGCGAAGAAAATTCTATCACGTAGAGAAAGGGTTGCATGTAATTGTAACCTCTGTATTGAAATAATTTCACGAGACTTTTTGTGGTTTCTGTTAGAGGTAAACCACAATAATTTCCCAAGGCGCTCGATTTTCAAATCGAGATTGCGATAACGTATATGGAAGATTAATGCGTTGACCATAGCAAGGGTCGATGGTAGTAAATCGAACGCAATACAATCGGATAGTTAACGAAAGAAAAGAAGTTCTAGTTAGACGAAGAAATATTTTAATTAAGTTCCGTATCGAACCGAGTGTAAATTACGATAAAGAGAAGGCAAGAAGGTTAATGGTAGTTTCTTAATCGCTGGCTAAATCAGCCGAGAACGATTTAATCCGAACGAAATTCGTATTGGTTACATAATTTTCCGAATAGCGCTAAAAATATCGAGCACCAAGTAACATAACGAAGCTATTTTTGCCACGGCGATGGAGAAACCGGCGAGAAAAATAGAAAACTAGGATGAACGAACGAGAGCCACAGGATGTTCGAATTGATGCCACGAGACTTGGAGAGCGTCACCAGGTGTCTATCTCGTTTCGATGAAACTGAAATACGTCGAAGAGAATAAGGAAATAGGAGACACGTATTTGAACCACCCCTTTAATCGAGCCTCGTTCAAAACCGATTTCTTTTATTTTCGCAACAGGCAAAAAATATGAAGCGAACCAAAATTCAAGGATTCTGAGAAAGCTGGTAATCTGCCTAAGAATAACTTATTTCTATATAAAATTTATAGCTTTCAAGGTTACTCCCCATCAATATACCAAATTGCGAAAGTCTCAAATTTCTATAAAGTCGAGAAACTTAGATCGTACCCAATAAAAAGACTCGAGATTTGAAAAATCGTGAAAGTCCCAAGTTGACGAGACTCGAAGACGAAGACGTATTCGTCAACTATTAATCGAAGAGGGAAGCTTTCGAACGTGGAAATGAAGAAGACTCGTACGCAAATTATTCCTGGTAACAGCTTATTTTGCTCCGGCGTCCAAGTCGGACTTGCTCGAACGAAGCAGACAGCTGTTACCGGAGAACGAGATTCGTGATCATTCAAATTGCAGTTGCGCCTGTAATTTGCACGAATGATTCGACCGTTTCGCGTGTAATCGTCAGCAGCATCATCGCTATTCCAAATTACTTGGATGCGCAACGAAACGCTTACCTGCTTCCCTTATGATCCCGACAATAATTAGCTGCCACGATCGTTTCGGTTCTAATCGTGAGCGTAATTAGTGGGGAATCACGATCGCGGACGTGATTAATACGGGACAAGTAATTAGTGTGACTCTTAACAACACCGATCGCGATTTGTGGACGTAATTAATACACCTCGTTGTCTGGCGCTTGGTTACCTTCGTTTTAACGATATCGTTTTAATTGCTGGTCATTTCTGATTCGTTTGAAATTATAATCGGTTAAGCGATCGTTTATTTTTCTTCTGAAGGACGCACTCGATATATCAGATTTTAGGGATACCTTGAAAAACCTTACCAATATCTGGACACAAGATAAGTAACACAGTTTTGCTTTTACTGCGCAGATTTTTAACCGACGCTGTTTATACAGATGATTCGACAGCATTTGTCTTCCCGCGTAGAATTTACCAGAAAAACAACACAAAGTTGCTAAAATACGTTCGCACTACGATTCGTACGGCTTTACGTACCAGCGTATAAATAAACGAAAGGAATAAATACGTTCGTGTTTTGTAAGGAAGATCGCGCGTTTCGAATTAGCCGCAAAATCGGTGACGATACAGACAGAAGGGGGTGATTTGCGATCGAGGGGGAAAGAATTCTCGATAAAAATTCACACGCTACGTGGACACCGTAAATTTCTCCGGCTCGTATATATCTCGATAAAATACGGAACATCGGCTGAATTTATAGCCAACGTTTCTACGTTCGTCGGAGAACGTTTCTTAAAATAATACGCGAGAGTGCGAACCCGATGACGCGAATGAAACTCGTTTGCGCGGTAATTTGTTTAAATGAGGGATGCTCGAGCACGCGGTTGACGAATCGTTCGAGTAGATGGAATATTCTTGGTCCACGAGTTAGAGCAAATTTCACGTTCAAGCGTTGAAAGATCAAAATTGATTTAACAACCCGAATAAATATGCTTCTACTCGGTGATTCTTGAAATCGATTTTTTAAATCGGAGTTACGTAAAACTTATTATCGTACAAATTGATTCCGTGTAAATCGTAGAGAAATGTCTGGAATATAAAGAGACGAGTTTTTCCTCAACTCGGTTTATGCGATGTATACTTAATTTTATAAATCGTAACTTCGACAATAAATCAATCGAATGGCAGGTACGTGTGGCATTAACTGCTCGTATCTCACACGCCAAATACTTACAAAACGATATTAAAACGCACAGGTTGTAGTAACACGCGTTATTTCCTACTTTAAGTACGCGAATATATAATTATACCCATAATAACGAGCATCAAGTATTTTAATTGAATCTCGTACATAAAAATTTTATCGCGATTCTAGTACCATATTACATCGGTCCGAAACAAGATTACAAAAATAAGAATACGGAAATATGTGATAGATTGGAATCGCAGAAAAAAATGTTCTCCGTCGAGAATTGCAAAGCAGCGATGTTAATTATTCAGAGATCGATGAAAGTGATCGATCAAATCGAACGGATCAGGAGGAAAAAGGGATGCAAAGAGGAATTTAAGGGGACGATATCGGCACACGCCCCCGGTGGATCAGCTTTTAATATTTGCCGGCTGGCGAAACACCGGTAATGGGTTTTTATGGTGGTGGCATGGCTCGGCGGCGTTTCGCGGTGTAAATTGCACGTTGCATCGATTTACGAGGCGAACAGTAATTTCCATGGTCTTCTAGCCGCCGAACAGAGCGTATGCAACGCGCGTTCACCGGCTCGCGATAAATACGCCGGGGGAGAACGTGTTCTAACCAACACGCTAGAAAATTGTCCCTCGTGGAATTATGCTTCCCGTAAGCATCGCATCCAAAATAGGATCAGGAATCACGCTAGAATTGCTTACCTTCACGCGATTCTTCTCCGATCTTCTGAACTGATCGTAACTGTACCAAAGTGTCGATTTTAGCAAAATTTCTAGGCAATTGAGTGATTACCAAGATTAGAATAAGTGGGTAGGCGTGAGAATCTATAAGTAGGTAGTATAGCGTGGTACAAGTAGTAACATTGGGTCGTTGATCTCCATCGTAGAACCTCTAAGTTCCACCATCTCAAAGTCCTCAAATGTGAGCAAAACCCGAAAAGTACAAAAAACTACCAAAACCCCAAAGTATAAAAATAGCAGATCCTTCAGCAACACATACGAGCGTAATCGATGCAAATAAAAATGTCGTTTAATTGGTAGGCACCTGTAAAGCGATGAAAAAGAAGGACTCGCGTTTCCTCCCCGATTCCACGCATCGCAATAAACGATTATTACTTTATCCCTCCTGCTGTCGGGAATGAGAATCGTTTGATGAACGCTTCGTGTGAGGCCTAGCATCGCGATTAAAATTGTACGAACAAAACGTGTTCCGCTGTCGACGTGATCATCGCGGATAACAATGGCGGTGAAAAAGATTTTCAAAGAAAGTGCCTCGAGTTCCAGCCGTCATTCTCAGCGAATCGATCGCGGATCGATAAAATCTCGATGATACTTTATAAACGTTTTAAAAGGCATGGATACGCTTTAGTGGCAGATCTAATCGTGATGATCGGTTAGAGGCAAGGAGTGCTTGAAAGAGTCTATTACTAGTACCTTCGGTTAATCTATCGATTATACGGAATTTTTATCTCATAATGTTACTAATATCTAACATTACTCCTGATATTCGAGTAAGTGATTTGTATCGT